ATAATGGCCACAATTAAGGCTCCATGAACACTAGCATATTTTTTAAGCTCAAAAAACACTGCAAAAAACCTGGTAATAGCATTTTTTAGTAGTGTTTTAGTAGCGTTTAGAAGCCTTAGCATTACAGTACATATAAAGAAAATTAGAAAAAATTTGTTAGGAGCATTTAATAGTGTTTAGCAGCATTTACCATTGTTTTCTGCTAGAAAAACACTCCAAAAAACTACAGAAACATTTTGTTTTTCTTCTCCTGAATGCCAAAGCTCAGAAAACACTACTATTATTATTATTATTATAATATAGTATTTATAAAGCGCCAATAGTTCGCTCAGCGCTGTACATTACAAAGGGGGACAGAACATGTGACAGAACAATACCAATACAATGCAAAACATGAGGGGATCGAGGGCCCTGCTCTTTCTAGCTTACAATCTAGGAGGGAGGGGATGGTGGTACAGGAGGAGATAACTGTCAGGGATGGAGTGGTAGGAAGAGTGGAGGACGTCGGCAAAGTTAGCAGGGCGTGGGGTAGGCTTCCCTGAAGAGATGGGTTTTCAGGGTACGCCTAAAGGAGAGGAGAGTAGGTGATAGTCTGATGGGTTGGGGCAGGGAGTTCCAGAGGATGGGTGACACCCTGGAGAAGTCCTGGAGGCGGGCATGGGAGGAGGAGACCAGGGAACTAGAGAAAAGGAGGTCTTGTGAGGAGCGGAGTGTGCGTGCTGGGTGGTACTTGGATATTAGGTCAGTGATGTAGTTCGGGGCAGTATGGTGGACGGCTTTGTATGTCAGTGTTAGGATTTTGAATTTGATCCATTGCGCAATCGGAAGCCAGTGGAGGGATTGGCAGAGGGGGGTGGCGGAGATGGAGCGGTTGGAAAGGTGAATGAGTCTGGCAGCCGTATTCAGGATGGACTGAAGCGGGGATAGCCAGCAGCAAGGCAGGCCAGTGAGGAGGGAGTTGCAGTAGTTGAGTCGTGATATGATGAGGGAGTGGATGAGCTGTTTAGTGGTTTCTGGGGTTAGGAACATGCGGATTTTGGCGATGTTGCGGAGGTGGAGTCTGCACGAGTTTGTTAAAGATTGGACTTGGGGCTGGAAGGATAGGTTGGAGTCCAGAATGACACCAAGTACTCTGGCCTGCGGTAGTGTGCTAGCCTAAAGTAGTGTGCATGTACGCATAGGATAACACTATTTAGCTTCTAGTAGCAGAAAAAATGATAATAATGGCTGCTAAGAGCTTAAAAAACTGCTAGTGTGCATGGAGCCGTACTAAAAAGAAGCACCGTACCGAGCTAAAAGTTAAATTCAACTAAATATTTTGGTAATTCCTTACTACAGTACTTACACTTCACAGACAAATTTAGTATTGATTACAATATTCAGACCTTTAGGGGGAGATTTACTAAAACTGATGCACTCAGAACCTGGTGCAGCTCTGATTGGTAGCCAATCAGCATCTAATGTCTGCTTGGTCAATTAAGCTTTAACAATAAAACCTGGAAGCTGATTGGTTTCTTTGCAGAGCTTCACCAGATGTTGCACCTTGCAGTTTCAGTAAATAACCCCCTAAGGGTCCAGTATAAAAATGAATAAATATATTAGTAAGTACATTTATTATTATTAATATACAGGATTGATATAGCACCAACAGTTTACGCAGGTCCATACAATATAAGGGGGACAGTACAATTACAATACAGTTTGATACAGAAGGAATTGGAGGGCTCTTCTCATGGAGCTTACAATCTAAAGGGAGGGGGAGGTGGTACAAAAGGTAATAGCCGCAGGGGATGATCTGATGGAGGTGGCCCAAGTACAGTTTTTAGGTAGAGGTTGAGTAGGCTTCCCTGAATAAATGAGTTTTCAAGGATTGTCTAAAGACAGACAGGGTAGGAGCTAACCGAACATACTGGGGCAGGGAGTTTTAGAGGAATGGAGAGGCTCTGGAGAAGTCCTGGAGGTGAGCGTGGGAGGATAACAAGGGAACTGGAGAGCAGGAGGTCTTGGGATGAGCGGAGAGGATGGTTTGAGTGATATCTGCAGGTAAGGTTGGTTATGTAGCTGGGGGGGTAATGTTGTGGATGGCCTTGTACAGTATATTGTGGTTAGTATTTTGAATTTTATACGTTGGGCTAGTGGAAGCCAGGGAAGAGACTGGCAGAGAGGGGAAGCAGTCACGGATCGGTTAGGAAGCTGTATTAGTTAAAAGTACAGTTTAAAAATCAATGGTAAAAATATTTACATGTTGATAAATTAGAATTATAAATAATAGTAATACTTGGAAACGCCTGAGAGCAATAATAAGTCTAGCAATATATTTAACAAGTGGTTATGATTTACGATTTCTGCTTAATATATCTAAACAACATCATGGCTGTATGTTGTGAAGTGGGTAAACGTTGCCGAACACGGGTGGTGACACCTCCTGAGACAATTACCACAAGCAAAGAATGAATGGATATATATATATGTATTGATAATGTATACATGTGAAATGTTATATGAGAGGTGGTTTAAAAATTAACATTCCATGGAATGTTAATGGGTACTCTGCATAAGGAGCGGTTGAATAAACCTAGGTTTTTTGACCTGGAGTAATGGCATACCTCTTATAGCTAAAGAACAGTATGCACTTCTAGTTCATTTAATCCACCAGGGGCCAGGGTATCTAACATATAGATCCAGTATGGCAGATAATACATTTGAATATTCTGTTGCAGGGAGAGTACGAGCATAGCTTCAAAAATCTATACCATCAAATCATTGAGGATTTGTTGTGACATTCTGTAAAATGTTTCAGGACACTGTTTATCAGAACCCTCTTTAACCAACCTCCAATGTTCCCCAAAGTTTTTCCTCAGGGTGCGTATCGTGCGACCCACATATAGCTTTCCGCAAGGCCAGAAGAGACAATACACCACAAATTCTGTGGAACAATTACAAAACTCTGGTAGGACATAAGCAGTTCCTTTGTGGGTAAAGTCTTTCTGTTCATGTCAGACATGTCCACACGTGAGGCACCTCAACTTACAGTATTGGTACATGCCTTTTAGAGCAAGGAAAGTTAGTGTAACGGTTGTTTGGATTGCCATTGTTACTTTTATTATTTTGACCCATATATATGAGACCTTGGGTTTACTTGTCAGGAGGTTTTTAAATGAGGGTCCTCAAGGAGAATGGACCAATATCTTTGTAATATACACTTCATTTGTCTAAACTGAGTGTGAAACTGGATTGTGAATCTGAGGGGTTGTGGTTTAACAACATTGTCAAGATGGTGTCAGTATTATCTGTGGAATCAGAGATAAGTGATGATAAGCTTTTTTCAACAAGAGTGTCCAGATATCCTTTGTCCAGGGGGAACTTCTCTTTCAATGTATGGCCATGGGAAATATAATTTTGTTAGCATGTATAGTGGTATATTTTGTACCCAGCATGGGTGGTGACAACTGGTAGTGGAGATATGAGTTACTGTCGGTTTGGTGTAGTTATGAGCATAAATGCCATTACTTTCATGACACAGCTCTAAATCCAAAAATGCAAGTTGGTCACATACTGAGGTGAAGGAAAGTCCATTGTTCTTTGTATTGCAATATTCCACAAACCTGTCCTACTGTAGTACCATCACCATCCCATATGTCCCATAGTATATAATCTGGGTTGCAAAGGTATTGGAATCTATGCAGGGACAAAAGCCTTAATTCAATTAAGAAAAATAATTTCCTCCAAAAGCAAAGCATTAATACAGCTTCATCTTCCACACCTTACTTGGAAAGACTTAATACATTTAAGAGAGGGATATAGCATATGATCAGTTCATAGAATTACAAAAAAGGACTTCAAAACCTGTGGCCCTAACCCCCTCCCCCCAAAAAAAAAAAACTGCTATTCATTTTAAAGTGGTTGTAAACCTCTGAAATGAAAGATGAACAAAACATATTCTTCTATATCGTTTATTTGCTCTATCCAAAGCTCCTAGTGTGATTTCTGTCTCCTCTCTCATTCCTCTGCTATCTGCATGAATCACATTGGACAGTCTGAGCTGACACCAGCCAATCCCAGGGAATGCCCCTCTCCAACACACAGCAGGTGATTGAAAGCCTCAGCTTCCCATGTTTCCGTATGAGACTGTCCCCTCTCCTTACACTCAGCTGCTTGTACTGTGCTGTGCAGTGTGTGGCATCCCCGCCCCCTGCGTTCTTGAGTTCAAAAATGCTGTGTAAATCCTGTACTTTGAATGGCTGTGGAGGAGAGAGCGCTGCAGATCAACAGACACAACTTATGTAGGAGGATTTAATTAATCTCTGTGTATCACCTGAAGCCAATCACTTCACTGGGTATATGTAAGGGTTTACAACCACTTTAAGGTAAAGGTAAATCTGGACCTCTATATAGTCCCAGGTCTCTCTATAATGCAACCAGTTGTTGGCTTTTGTGGTCATTGTCTCAAGTCTAATACATTGTGACTAATGGTCTCACTATCTAGTAATAATATAGAAGAAGGGGAGCCACAGCCAATGACCACAGAATCATTACAGAGCCTCTTGGGCTTCAGTTGTCCCCAGGCACTTTCTTGGACACCAGAACTTTGAACTATTTGCAGTTTGGGGTAACTTGAGGTGTACTTTTTGTTTTCGCTCCACAAGTTCACTTTAGTTTCACAGCATAAGGCAGAAAGACACCGTAATGTAAAAGGAGTAAAAATATGGATACATTTTCCAAAGAAACTGTATCTTGCTGACAAGATAGATTGTTTCAAAAATGTTCAATGCATTCTAAAAGAGTAAAATAAAATAAAAAAAAATATATATAAAATATTGTATCCAATGTCTATTGTCAGGATTGGCATAAAAGAGAAATCTGCAAATACATCAACAAGTGGAATTGGATTATGTGAATTTGGCCTCATCACAAGGAATGTCTTAGATCATAAGTGATGGAAACAGTAAATCTTACCTCTGGCTTTATTCTTCTGGCTTTCTCAGACCTTCACTACAACCATGCTGTTCTTTTTCTCCACCCTTCTGGTCATATACGCCCTCACATGGACTGCTAACTTACTTTTGATAAGTTCTATTATACTTTCATCACAGTTGCACACACCAATGTACTTTTTCTTAGGGAACCTGTCAGTCGTGGACATCTCCTTCTCTACAGTGACGGTTCCCAAGTTATTGTCCTGCATTCTTCGAGGAGGAACCTCCATCTCCTTCCTTGGCTGTTTCCTGCAGATGTACTTCTTTGTGCTTCTGGGCACCAATGAGAGTCTTCTCCTGTCAGTCATGGCATTTGATCGATATTTGGCTGTTTGTATCCCCTTACGCTATGTGTCATTGATGAATGATAAGGTTATGCTCATGATGAATTTCAGTTGCTGGATGGCATCTTCTCTGAATTCATTAGTGCACACCTATATTCTGTCACAATTAAAATACTGTGAGGACAGACTAATCCACCACTTCTTCTGTGATGTGACATCACTTATCAAACTGTCCTGTTCCAGTACTACACTAGCTGAGCTCCTAATATATGCCGAAGGTTCTATACCTATAATTATTCCATTCCTTTTGATACTTATCTCCTATGTGCTCATTGCATTAACTATAGTGAAAATAAAGACCAGCAGTAGCCGAAGCAAAGCCTTCTCCTCCTGTTCTTCTCATCTCATGGTCATATCCTTGTTCTACGGCACAGTAACATTCATTTACATTCGCCCACCATCAAACTACTCCTCCCAGTATGATCGCCTCGTTAGCATGGCTTACACTATCATTACTCCTATGTTAAATGCTTTTATTTACAGCCTAAGGAACCAAAATGTAAAACAGGCTATGAAGAAACTCATTGTGCGATGTTTTTCTCCTAGCTAAGCTAAAAAAAATTATGTCTGTTCATGTTCTCTAATACTGAGTAGAATTTGTATCACTTACACATTCCCCATTATCTCTGAACAAATGTATTTTATTGAGTAGGATTTTAAATGTACCATAATTACATTGCTTTTTACATCTGCAAAATGTCCTCTGTAATCCTTTTTTTATTTTTTTTTTTTTTTTTTTTTTTTTTTTTATTTATTTTTTTTTGTATTTTTTCCTCTGTAAAATGTTCCTGCCCATTCAAACATTAGGCTTGACCATCTACATCTCAGATCTTCCAGCTAGACTTTCATCTTCAACCAAGACTCTTCTATCACAATGTGTTTGGAATGGACATCTCATAGCTACTATCTAGGCCAAAAAATGTATATTCCAATATAATACCTCAACGTGTACAAAATTATTACCTAGACTGAAATATCTCAACAAAAGCTCTCAAACCATAGTTGACTACACAATGAACATCTTAAATTAAAGCATATTTCCCAAACATCTGCCCTCACAATACCTTCTACAACTGACATCATAGACACCCAAACATTGTTTTTCATGACTTGTTGCAGAACTGAGATATTAGGATTACCACCTAAACAGGAAGCTTTGACAAAAGTGGTGAGTAAAGATGAAATGAATGCACCTGAGTATGGTTCAAGGAGGGTTCGGCGAACATTACTAAAGGTCGGGTGCCGAATCCAAAAACCATTGCAGTAAATGGGAGATGATAGTTAAAAAACTGTTTGGCAGGGCAAAGTGATTTTAATAATGTAATGTAATAATGTAAACAAAAATGGTTGATGGGGTCCCTTTTTAAACCCAAGAAGGCCCCTTTGGCCCTTTATGCTTAAAAGGTCAGCCCAGAGGTCATTAAAGGGGAAGTAAAGAGTATCAGTCTCTTAAGTACACTTTCACTCAGCACTTTGTGTGTGGTAGTCACCCAATCATGTTGAAACCATCTTCTATTCTCTACTACCTTCATCCCCCTTCAACTTTTTTGTTGCTGGAGACAAAAACTCACCACTGCTCCTTGCTTAAAATCTTTGCTGTGACACGGAAAAAAAAGTGATGAAAATGAATACCATCTTGAAGGTTCAAACCATGGAAGGAAACTTACTGTTCACATGACTGGCCTAGCTGTTACTAGTTCAAGATAATATGTCCACTCTATCTTACTATGGCTATAGAACTATAGATCTCCTTCTCCATCAAGAAACCAGTGGTCTCTTTCTTTAGAATTTGGACAAGAATTTCTTCCAAACACAGGACAACAACTCAGATACACTTTTTGATGGGAATGGGGCCAGAATCCTGCAAGACTGATAAAACAAATTATGACCTTTAAATGAAGCAGATGAAGTTGACAGCAGCAATGCCTGAAGCTCTGCAAGAGAGGAAAGTTTCAACACACCACCTTGATAGGCTGCTGTCAGTATTATTATGTTGAGTTCCTTTAAACAGAATGTATAGCCTTTTCAATATCTTTGGTTTTTATTCTTTGTAGTGCTCACCCCAAAAATTACCTGCTATTTTGCACCAGGTTCTTTTCCCAAACTAGTGTTTCAGCAGCAAGGCACACAGTTTCAGTCGCTCTTCTGGCTCAATGAATAGTCTAGGGGTATCCTTTTTTGATGCTTTATTATAAGGCAAACTTGGACAGGGTATAGAGAAGCTGTGGAATACTCGCACAATATAAAAACACAAGGACACTCAAGTATGGTCCTTCCCAACAGCAGCTAAGGTATTGGGCAACACTGAGACACCGTAGAAATGTCCACAATTTGAGCAAGAACTGGCACTGATGCACAAGGGATAGTAGCAGCACACAGTCACTAGGATCTTACACACAGGTCTGTACTCACAATGTCCCTGGATTCTTGGATGTTTCCTTCCAAGACATTGCTAGACATTTCTCCTGTGAACTCTCTAGACTCGATCCTCAGTGCAATCCCCCCAGCAGTTCAGTAGAATAGGTTCCACAGCTTCAACACACCTTGGACCTCAATAAACACTAAAACAGGTCACCCAGTTCTAGAATGGCTGGAGCCTCAATGAGTAAATGTAGAAGTACAACTGAACTGCCCAGAAGGGCCGCAGCCCTTCAGGCTGGGAACTTTCCCTGAATCCCTCTGCTGAAGGCCTCAGATTATTTATGCACTCCCCAACCACTTACTGTGCATCCTCCTGCAAGGATTGGCTGGGACCACTTAAATTTTCAGGCTGTGAATTTGACTCTCCCACCCCACTATATTTCAAAATCCTCTAGAAGGCAGGGGAAGCAGTCTAACCTGTAACCAGTGAAACCCAAAAGAGGGCCAAAGTTACCACAAGCTGCTTCACTGATTATAAGGGAGCCAAAAGAACCAAATTTACCTAACCTAACTAGCAGCTTTTCTAGGAGAGTGCTACACCTTTATTGATACAAATTTATGAGAGGTCAGCTTGATGTATATCATTTTGGTTTTATTAGCATGTATGTATGTTCTATAAACCTTGTTTCTTTTTATAACTGTAATGTTTTGTCCATGCCACTAAAGCAAACTCGGGTCAGTTCCTGACCCCTAAAGAGTTCCCCAAACCAACAGGAAGCACTTGTACATTTTTAGTGTTTTGTCAGCACAGAGGTTTTTCACACAACATCAGGCTTCCAGGATTTGCATAATCAAAGGCCTATGCACAATTGAGATTTATTGAGGCCTGGCTACCAGATAAGATGTAGACCTAGGAATGGGAACTTTATTTCACCTAAAGTGTTACAAAACCTCTGCACTCTGTGACAGAAAAAATAACTTATAAATATAAAAATATTCTGAAAAAACAAATGTTTATTTCCTCAACACCAGATATATGTGAAAAACATAGGTGACACATATACATCATTCACGATGCTGCCAGATAGTGCCTTACAATATGTACATGGAGGTAGCCATATGTAGGCAGGTGCAGTCTCAGTTCTCCATTGTATGTGGCATTCAGCTGGAGAAGAAGTCAGGACAAACTTGGTAGCCATATATAATCATTACCAACATCCATCATATACTGCAGCAATTCTAGTAGGTTCCAGGATATGTGAACCAAAAGCTTATTAAGCCTGTATAATAGGCTTAGAAGGAGGTGAGCGCACATCTATTTTCACTGAAGGATTCATGGAAAGTCACAGTATTATGTTTTAATCACTTTATCACAAATTTGGACTTTTTTTGGATAATGGATTTATTTTTTTGTTTTTTTTATTATGATCACTTTATTGATATATTGAAAATTTTGTGTCAGTTTGTATATATAATAGTATATTTCACACACTTTATATAGTTAGATAATAGGAGCGCAACATTTATAGATATATGGTTTAAATTGCACAGTTGGAGTATGTGTCAATTGTTAGTGATCTCTAAGGTTTTTTTGTTTGGCTCACAAGTTACACACACCTGTATTTTGTAACTTCCAGCTCTACCCACCCAGTCTGCTACTCCTGCACTCATGCCACCCCATGCCCTCATACTCTCTGTCTTCATTTTTAGCAGTGTTGGGAAGTAGGTGAAAGAGAGACCCCCATATTGTTCCATTCTTCAGATGGATTCTCTTCATGATAGGCTCTCTCACTGTAAACTCATCAGCAGTTAGATAATTGTCCCAATATGAAAAGACGGACTTGTATTTGACATAACTGTTGGCACTATTAGCTGTGACATGGCAGTGGAGACACGTTGAGAAATTCAAGAATTTAAACAAATTGCTAGCGATGTAGCTGTGTAATGCAGCAACAGCTTTGGTGGAGAAATATGGGAATTTTCCAACATGGCATAGCACATTCCACAACTTAAAGAAAGGACACTACCAGCTAAAAAGATAAAGGAGGAGCTGTAACACTAATATCTTGACCAGATGAGCATTCAACTGAGAGACCATGGGGTGTGTGGAAATGCACTTTTGTTTTCTTTTTAAAGATTATCTAAAGGAAGACTCATGATAGTAGGTTTAGGTAGGAGAGGTGATAAAGGGGAAATATTGCCCCTGCCTTAGTGTATCTGAAATGGTCTGACTGGTGAGCTCAGTTTGTGTATATCCCTTCATCAATACTTATGGATCTGCAAGCATCAGAAGGGCACTTCTGGGGATTATGAAGGGAAGGTAGAATGAAGAATTACTTAGTGCGTGTTAGCTTTGACTTTGCTGTTTTCCAGATAAGAAAACCTTTGAAAAAAGACCATCCAGTTCAACCCACAGAGTAAAAAAAGAGTGAAAAAAAAATCCAATACAATCCTATACCCACAGTTGATCCAGAGGAAAGCAAAAAAACGCTATAAAGAATTTTAACATAATAAAATAACTAAAAACAATATTCCAAAAGTATTACATGATACTTTTGGAATAGTGTTATAGTTATTTTATTATATATTGTAATAAAAATATCACCTTTTATATGTTTTAGTGTCCATGTCGGTACAAGTACATTTTCCTCAAACAGGTCGGTAACAGTGGTGGCAGCGTACAAAATCAGCAGGCAGAGGAATAAACAGGTCACAAGCCGGGTTCATTAACAGGAGATCAGAACATGCAGGGTGAAGCAAGAAAATGGTCAGACAAGTCAGGGATCAGAACAGGAGACAGACAGCAAATCAGGGTCAAGTAGGGTCGGTAACAAGGCAATCTACTAATCAGGAACTTCAGGAAACAGGTAAGACCATAAGGCACTTAAGCATTGCAAGAGCCGGGTTTAAATAGCCCGCCCGACTCCTGACAGGTGCTGCTGGGTCCTAGTGCTTACCCGGCGCCGTCATTGGTGACAGGCGCGCATGGGTCCTAGTGCCTGCCTGCTTGTACATTTTGTCAGGATTCTACACATGTGCAGATTCGATCGCCGCGTCGATCTTCCCATTCCCTGACACCCCCCTTTTTAATGCCAGGCCTTGGCATTCCAATAAGGCCTTAGGCTTTGTTCCTGTGTATAGGCCAACCCCCTTCCCCATTCCTTTGTATGACTAAGCAAACGTGTTTTA